CCTCCTGTGCCCCAGCTCAGGCTTTTAGCTACAAAAATGAATGTCCTCTGAGCTGCTAATTGTAGCAAGGTAGCAATATTTTTACATACAATATTCTATTACCAAACAGTCTGCAAAATAAAGAGTTGCCTTTCATAATCATATAGTTTTGCAAAAGATTTAACAGATTTTAGAACAATGTTACAGATTTTTGAACTTGGACAAACCCTCCAAGACTTTTTCATATATTATATTTTGACCCCCTAGACACTGTAGAAGACTTCAGTCAGTGTACAGGGAATTAATGTTTTAGAATTTAGCTGCCCATCCTCTGCTGGCCTTTTATGAGGATGTGACTGAAATGTATTTTTTCAGAATATGTTACTGTATCTGCAATATAGTTTCTTTAAGCTTCCATCACTATGAGCCTTTAAAAATTCCTGCAAAAATTCTTGCAAAAATATAGACTGCTCTATTTTATGTGAGTTTTCCCCTGTGCAGTAATCAAAACTTCTTCATTCACAGAAACCACTCTCACAAATGGACTGTCTTTGTTCCACACATCACCAGCTGGGTGATAAGTGGAGATGGGAGAAATTCTTACATTTTTCAGTTTTAAGGCAGCCAGAAACATTTCACCTATTCACTCAAAATTCGATAATTGCTTTGGCTGAAACAAGTTTTTAAAATAACAAGATACATAGCAGAAAAGGAAAAGAACAGTGTTTTGCCTGTGAATTATTTCCTGAGGTCCTTTTACCCATCCAACAGAATAACCCATTTCCTCAATGTCAACTTTTCCACCCATGTCTTCAGTGATCCCCCCCACCCAGTTATGTTTAGAGTAGATGGTAATCAGCCAGTAAATTCATGACTGCTGTTTGAGGCGAAGATGTACGTATGTATTTAACGGCCATGCAGCTGCTACCAAGAGGCAAGTAAAACAGCAGAGTTTTGCTACACTCTCCCTCAACGCAGAACCTGATCAGGTTCCTCTCTTCCACTGTGCCACCAATTTTTAAGAAACTTTGAGAGCTGTACCATGCTCTGAAACTGCTGAAGACACCATCAATGCCTCAGTTTTAAGAGCAGCAACCAAAATTCTGACTCTAACCCAAACCACCAAAGCTATGGACAAAGGGAGTACCTGTATCAAGAGCAGCACTTCACACTACTGGGGGGAAAAAAAAAAAAAGTCACCTCTTTTTGTTTGTTTGGGATTCACCACTTAAATCTGTATGCTGACAGATTTTATATTTAAGAGAAACAACAAGAAATAATTCCCTAACATTACCATTGGGTGGCAGGACCAGCTCCAGTGTCCAATTCCCTTCTGGAAATGGCCAATTAAATTTACAAGGGTAAATAAATGAGTATCTGTAAAAAAATCTTTGAATTACACTATGAGTCATTTTGACTGTATCTACAACCAGGGCATGAAAAAGCATAACGTTTTTCACCTTTACAGCTAGCCCAGAACCAATTGCTCTTGACAGCAATGTCACAAGAGCTTCCAGTTTTTGTGGTCTGATGTAACCAATGAGGTTTGTCACAAATTGCATTCTCTAAAATGCTGAATTACACCTCCAAAAGGAGCACGAAAAACAAATTCCAAAATGTTTTGATGAATTTGCTATGTTTCAATAGTAGAAGTATCAATACTAAATTTCTGAAATGCCTTGTTTATACCTGTATTAAAGTCCTTCATCAACGAATGCCACCAGCATTGTAACCTTCTAAAGCATCACATATAATTTCAGTGACAACTTCAGAGACTGGCAGATGGATACATGCTAAGTGTTAGCTCTTTATTTATAGGGAAAACAAGCCCTTCTCTAATGCTGTCTGGCAAGACTGTATGCTAAATGTCACTTATCTAGTGCAGGCAGGAAGATTCCTGGTGAAGCAGCATGTCCTGTCATTGCCCACTATACAAAACCACTGTCACAAGCATCTCTTGTTGAGGCAAGGAAGCATGCTAAGGGAGACTCTCCAAAAACTGTCAGGGAAGAACCCAAATAAAACCACGGTA